GTTTCGAGAGGCGGGAGGGGGGAAGGAAGAACAACGAGAGGGAGTCGCGTGCCGCCACCTTCTCTCGAGGGAGCACAACGACGACGTGGGGCGCGTGACGCGGTCGGAGTCGTGGACAATCGACTCTGTCGTCGGCCGCGATCCGCTCTTTGTGATACGTCATACCCACTACCATACCGTCCGCGGCGGAAGGAGGCGAGTGGCGGAGGAAAAGGACGATGGCGGGGGCGGGGGTGGGCGTCGGCGGCGTTGGGATGCTGAGGACCAGGCGGAGGGACGTCAGCGTCAAGCCAAATAGAAAACTCGACCGGAAGTCCTCGAGAGGGATGATTTACGAGAACGAGGAGCTCAGACTGAGGACCATTCACATCAATGCCGAGGTGGAGCAAGGTAAAGATCGAAGGGCAGGGGACGGAAAGAGGAGGAGGAGGAAGAGGAGAAGGAGGACGAGGAGTGTGCGGTAGCTCGCGCGGATTTATCGGCGACGAGTCGTCGAGGAGAGAGAGAAAAGTCGCGAAGTCTGTGTCAGGGGTCTCGAATGTGTCCTTACGAAGGGACGTCACAATACCGCGATTACTCTTCCTCTCGTTCGGCTCGACCGCGCGAAGGGATATTCGCGAGGGGGAAAAAGTTGCCGCCAGACTTTCCTTCACCCTCCGCGTGACACGGCAAACAACGCGCATGGGGCTCACTAATTATGAATTGGTAGGAGACACCAATTGTCACGACGAAGTCGTGACAGCCGAAATCATTGCCACTGCGTGTGCGGACTTAGGGATGTTGTGGTACTACTGATATAATACTGGTATCGCCATTTCTTTTTCAGTGTTGGATATTTTTGTATCCATATTTCCTATTCGATATTCGTACCTATACCAGTGCTACTGTTTCAATATATCCTCGATATCTCTTTTTTACATGCCAAAAATTGTTACAGTAGGGGAGACCGGAGCTAGATGCACTATATTTTAGAATTTTGAAGTTACTTATCAGGCAACTAATTGCTGTGACTGATTGTATAAACATGATAGAGAGACAATCTTTTCCTATATATTAATGTCCAGCACGACCCTTAATCGTATATTTTGTAATAACCAAAATATTAACATACAGCAATATAGCCACCTTGTCCTGATACCAGGTTTAGTTGCCCGATAGTACAGGGTAAGAAGGTCATGTATAAAATATGTGTCCTGATTAGTAGTTTCAGAATTTCCGTAAGAGGTCCCCACAGCCCTATTGCCAGCCCTTAAATACAGGATAACTTTATCTCATTCATATGCTCTGTTTCATCTTATGGATAAAAATAATTTATTACCAAAAACAGTATATCATACACTTGCAAGAAATTTCATTCTAACTGGTAACACATTTCTTAATTTTATTCAATCACAATTAACAGAAAATTTCGAGAGATCCGAAAATTTATTTTGCTATTATCATATAATCAGTTTTTTCTATTTCCTAACTGTAATATTATCCCGATTTTAATGAGATTCAGAGAGAAGTATTTATGTTCTAAAAGGATCATTTCACGATTTTGTACCTCCTCTTTCAAGATGTTAAACCTACACATTACCTATTTCTACATATTATCTATATTACTTATTTCTCTCAAGATATTAAAAATACTAAAAAATATATTAAAAATAATAAATAATACTCTCAAAATATTAAAAAAAGCACTACATAGCAATACATCCATGCAACCATACAGCCCTATTAAAAGAACAGTTTGCAGGACCAACACTTTTCTGATATATTTCTTCTAATTTCAAGTTTTCTTAAGTTTCACTGAGAGAAATTATCCGATAAAAAATTAACAAACGGATATTTCTAATCAAAATACCGGTGAATTTTTGTATCCGATCAGGAAATATTCGATGAGAAATATCGATTTATAATTTTTTGATCGGTTTATATGATAAAATGCTATTATAATCGGAAGTATCTGATTTATATTGTAATTCTGTACAAAGTCATAAAACTCGTAACTTGTTCTGGTAAGATTCGTAAGAACTTATGAGTAGATCTACAATTTTATGCGGACTGTATGCCATTTGATAAATATTCGTAAATATATACGATTTTTTTGTTTTTTTTTCGTAAGCTACGACTTTACGATTTTAAGATTTACTCATATATTTGCTTAGAATTGCAGCATTAATCGGATATCCTGATGGGATATAAAGATTGATTGGAATTTGTTAATTTTTTTCGGATAATTTCTCTCATGTATTCAATATTACCAGTATCGATATTTTTGTTCTGGTATATTGATATCACTAATAATATCGATACTCTTGATTAAATACTCGTTTCAATATGAGTACCGATACTTTCATGGTACTACAACATTCCTAGTTGGGACACAGCGTAATTGATCCGCGTAACACCTATGTCTCCATTTAATCGACGGAATTCGTCGCAGTTGCAATGTCGCAGCGAATCTCTCGCGAGATGTCTGGCGGATGTTCCCTGCGAGTTTTACCGGCGTAATCGATCTGAACGCCGTTACTTGAATGATTAATATGTCATTATAAACAAGCATTCGCACTCGGTGGCCGAATTAATTTCACGGGGACTCCCAGTGCGCGTTAGCGGCAGACCGAGCTAACTAATGATGTTAAATATTTAATCTTACGGGCCGCGACTGCGCCGGAACAATCAGGGATTAATTTAACTATAGCGCTAAAGGAATGTTTGATGCGCGCCGCACGCGTAAAATGCTTTCAAGAAACTTTCGAAATTCTATTAAAGCTTGCGGGCGCTCTTGGCGCGATAAAAAGCAAGGCCGATATCTCGGGTGATACACGAGGCGATTCAACCCTGGCAGGATCAACCCCGAATCCAACCGGGGAATGCGTTATTAAAGTTTAATACGGTCACGCCTGACCCTCTGCAACAAGAGAGACGCCGTTCTCTCCCTCTCTCTCTCTCTCAACGAATTCTCGAAACAAATTCTGGCGCGGAATAAATTTATTAATTCAGATCTTCTATCGATATATGAACGAGATATTAATAAATTCAATGTTCGCGTGCAATCTCTCTGACCGGGATCGTAGAGTATTTTCGACAGGCTCTCATTAGTATCGCAAATCTCACTGTCATCGCTTTAATTATGAATTTTCCATTACGTGCCATATACACGGCGACAGGGAGTTGAATACATTTCACGGGCGATGGTCACAGGGAATTCCTATGGCCTACCAGGCCCGGTAAACTGCAACGCGCCACGGTCACCTACAAATAGACACGCGCCAACAGCAGATCGAAGCCTGCCGTATATCGCGCGAACTCGCTGCGAACTATTTTCGAGAGCTGGCCGCACCCGCTGAATTTGTCCAGTCGGGTAAGCGAGTGGCAGAGCCTCTAGTACCGGCGGACTCGATCCAGCAGACTTGACTCAGTTGCTAAATGCGCCCGAGCGCGCCCGAGATGACGCCAAACGCACCCGCGCTCCACTTCGCGCGGAAATATTTTCTTTCTTCGCGTGCGACGGCTCGGTTTATTTTGTTTCTGCGTGAAAATCGGTGCGCTGCCGCGTGATGAACCGCGGGAGGAGGGGGAGCATGGGAAATGCACGGGAGGGTGCGACCCGTCGCGACTGGGAGTGATCGCGTCGGGTCCACGTGATTGATTCGGTTGATCGGTACATTTGCAACGTGCACGAGCATTCGTCGTGGTAACTGAATGCACTCGACGAGAAGTCGATCGACTGTGAGAGTGAAGACTCGCCCGTCCAGAGTTCCAAATGTGAAGAGACACGCAAGAGAGTGAAATCGATCGGTTTTTCAGCGAACGCGTTCTCCCGAGGAGAGTCGATTAACGATGGTAGGTACACTTGTCGTCACCTCAGCGTCTGTCAGGTCCCTCTCCGTGAGGGCTGATCGTGAGTCAGCAGCGAATGCGAAGAGACAAATTCGTGTGGCGTAGGTAGTGCGACGTGAACGCGCAAAAAGGTTGAATGAGAGGCGCATGAATCGCGCGTGATACGTGATTCCCTCGCGAGATTTATTTACCCGTGGAGCCAAGAAAAGCTTTGTTTTGGCAAATATTCCCGGCGCGTGGCGTTTATTCTCTCGGAAGTCGGTGTCCAGATGTCGACGCTGTGCAGGCTCTAAAAGCCGAGCGCGCTGGCTTACTTTCCGCCGTAATATCGTTACGTCAAACCGAAACGCCAGACCGAGCTCGACCTCAGTCGCCCAGCGCGGCTCGATCAAACTGTAACTCGAATTTCTTAACCGCCACTTAAGTGCTTTAAAGCTCTATTTATCAAGTCGAGTTACAAAAACCATGATTTTCACACTGAAAAAAATTGATATATTTGCAACTATAATCACATATAAAGAAATAATTACTATAAATTGGATAGTAGTTATAGAAGAATGACCGAATCCACATGAAGTAGTCTCGCGAAAAATGGAGATGCAGATTTTATAGATGATTTTACAAATATAGATAGTACTTAGATTCTCTCTCTCTCTTTCTCTTCTCCATCGTCAAGCACGCTCAATTTTTTTCATTGACAAACTTAAACCTAAAAAAAAATAGGTAAAAAAGTAGCAACTAAAAATTATGCAACTAGTAGAAAATAAAGTGCTTTTTAACTAATAAAATTATTGTGTTAATTATTAAAGCCATAAGACTTGGATCTTTTTTGTTTTATATAGACAGACGTATGAATTATTGATAAAAGAAACAAAAAACTCAAAAATCACAATTTTGTAGGTTGGATTATTCTTACATAACTAAACTATTCTTACATAGCCAATTATAAGAAAACTATTTTATTAAATTTTATTATAATATAAATTATATTTTGTATAATATAATAAATATTAAATTATATTATAATATAATAAAAAATAGTTGCAAATATATCAATATTATAGTATTATAATATATTATAAAATAGTTGCAAATATATCAATATAATAGTATTATAATATATTATTATGATATAATTATAATTTTAAATTCCATTAATCTTAGATATAATAATATCTTATATATACATGTTTATTATTAGCATTTTCATATTAGAAAAGTTGTATCAAAAAATCAGATTGAGGGCAAAATTAACTATAATATTAGTTAAAACAACTATTTTTTTCTTTCAGTGTAATTGTATTGATTTTAAATATCGCATACGTGAATAAAAGGGGGAGAGGGAGAAAAGGAGGGAGAGAAGGGGAGGGGAGAGAGAGAGAGAGACGGAGGAGAAGATGCATTAATCTCGATACATCTAACGTTATCGAGCAGAAATCGAAATAATTTCGCGCGTGTATAAACTCATTTACAAATTAATATTTGGATAAAAACGACTCCTCCTATAACTCCAGAATAAATACTCATTCGACGCGAAATCTTGGAAATTGAACTTGGAAAATAACATTCAAATATCGGATATCTCCATTTCGTTTTGAAATAACGATCATTTAAGGAGCCAAAACAATGTAATGCCTTAAGAAGAAAACGTATTTTTTGGAATTAATTTAGTGAAAATGGACCGAATGTATTGAAACACTCTATATTATGTAAATATTAAACTTTATATTACTATTTTTCTTATTTAGGAAAAGCTATAAAAAAATATGCAGCATGTGGTCGAACTTATGACCATAAAAGATATTATTACGATAAAAATGGTGTCCGTCTAGTGACTTGAGATAAAAAAACCAAAGAGTTTCTTAAATAATATGCTTGTAGTTGGGGGATGAACCTAAATTTAAACTGTGGAACGAAAATTGCAGAAACAATAGCTGTTTAAAAATTGGGTACCCAAATTTCGTATCTTTTTGTTATTTGGCACTATTAAAAGGAGTATTAAATTTAATGTTTTCTGAGTTTTTTTACTTATTTTCCAACTGCAAGCATATTATTTAAAAAACTTTTTGGTTTTTTGATAAATTCAGGTCACTAGAACGTGCGCTATCTTTCTCGCCGGTTACAGCGATATTTTTTGCAGTCGTAAATTTGGCTGTGAATGCTGCATATTTATTTATAGGTTTTCTTAAATAATAAAAATAGTAATATAAAGGTTAATAGTTAATTAATATACAACGTTTTAAAATATTCGGTTGATCCATTTTCACAAAATTAATCCCCAAAAATATGCTTTTTTCCAGAGCGTTAGATTGGTCCGGCCCCTTGAATTCCGATGGCAGTTCCGTAATGGATTTTCTGTCGCGCAGTTACGCGACATGAAACCTTCATAGTTACGAAGCGATTAATTAGGGACACTTTAGTGTCACCCAGTACATGTCAAACGGAGAGGGCCCGTCTCTCACACCCTCGGCGTGCCGGGGCAGCAGCGTTTCGCGGTCTTTTTCTGTTCCTCCTGACACATTATGCAGCCGGATTATCGTCGTGCATTCGAGTGGCGTGCGGGGAAAATCCTCCGCGATTAGAAAAAACTGACAGCACGCCGAGAGGGTTCGAAGTGAGCTGTTGGATCAATCTACCGGTTCTTGGACCCTCTTTTTCCGGACGCGCACTACGCGCTCGCTCGATAGGAAAACCAGACGCCACCTACGTCAGGCACGGAGATTATTTTGAGTCCTTTTTCAAGCTCTTGATAGATTACACCGTCGCGTGAAGAAACGGCGCTGGTCTAATGAACGATTTATCATCGGCCTCTTTTTCTTCCACTCCCCCTTCCCCCTTCGCTCGCGCGCGATCCGACACCGAATTTCTTCGATATCAAAAATATCGCGCGCCACACTGTCGGACCTCAAAACTGATGATCTTGGACGCAAGAAGCGACGATCTCTCTCTTTCTCATCTCTCCCACATCGCGACGAGCGATATTAAATCACCGAGGACAATTGCCGCGGAAAGGGGTTGAAGCGAGGAAACGTGCCCGAGACGGGAAAAGTGGGGATACGTTCCGCTGAAGGAAGCCGACCGTTGCGTTTCAGTAGCTTAGACAAAACGCCTAATATCATCGACGTGTTTGGAGTAGACACACGTATAATGCATGCGTGTGTGATGTATGGGTCTGACGATGAATGAAAACATATAAATTTCAATGATATGTGCGCTGGTTGGCGAAAAAATAGCGACGCGGAGATCTTTCTCGCACGGGACTGCTGGCCATTGTGTAATATCGCGGTCAAGGCAAATAATGAAATGGTGAAATTTATAAGAACGCCGCCGAGACGACGCTTCTAAAATAACATCAAAGGCGCTGATCAGTGCCGGAACACTTGCTGGACGTCGACCCGTGTTGTCAGACGCCCGAGAGAAATCTTCCCCAGATGGGGATCTAACGCGCTTTCCCTAAATTTATATGTTTTCCAACATCTCCTCTCCCCCAGTGTACCTGCCCTTCGGGTAATTTCGACGCACTCCATCATCTCTCGAGTATCCCGACTGAATTCGACTGTGGAAGAGATCCATGCACGACGCAGGAACTGTGCCACTTCAGGAACGCAAAGAAAACAGCAAATCTCACTGCTTAGACCTGCGAAAATTTCGTGATCGCGAAATAATTCCCGACATTCCGTCAGGTCTCACCTTTGCCCGACATATTTTCCGACCGGTTTCTTATTTTTGGAAAGACATGCCCTATTCTGACCTGATGACGCTGGTGTCATCACCTCGGCGTCTGAAGACACGGCCCTGGTGCCGCGAGACCACGGGGGACTACAAAAGATTTAAATAGTCACGAGGGCGAGAAAGAGAGAGATAAAGAGAGAAAGAGAGAGAGAGACCCGTGGCGGTGGTTTCGTGACGCGCGATGAAGAAGCGGACGAAGAAGAGCTCGCGGTAGGTAGGGATAAAGAGCGCAGCAGTGATGTAGTTACGCGCTGACTAGTTTCGCCCGGCGACTCAAAACGGCCGGCCACGCTTTTCGCGGCCCTCGCTAAACTGTCAAACTCGCGACGTCGCGACATCGCGAACGTCCGTGACCGGTCCGGCGGTTCATCAGCGCGACGCTTGTCACCTCGTTGCTTCGATACCTCGAGGGTGATATCTCGAAGCTATCCTGGGCGTCGCGTCAACGACGACAACGACGACGACGACGACGACGACAACGACGACGACGACAACAACGACGACGACGACGACGACGCGCATCTGGCTAAGACGCGCGTCACGTGGTTACGTAACGAAAAAGAGAAAGACGCGACGACGGAGGGAGATTGAACTGTGACGGAAAATTCGCGAGGCGTGCAAAGTGCGCGGCAAATTGGCGCGGGATACGGAGAGGACGTGTGGGAAAATCTAACTGCTAACGAGCCGAAATCGTGCGAGTCGTTGGTGTGCCAATAAAAAGTATGACCGACTTATTCCGCGAAGGTTTTCCCGCACACTCAGAGAAAAAGACATGGTGATGGCAACTATACATAGGTGACAACAGTGTGTGAGTTTTGTACGAGGAATTTAGTGGTGTGCCGGGAAAATTTCGTGATAAAATCCCTCATGATTTCTTTAAACTATTGTGTTTTTGTTTAACTCATAGTAAATAAAAAAATTGTTTAACTCATAGTAAATAAAAAAATTAGATATATTCTATTTTTAAAAATTTCTAAAAAAACAGCAATATATATATATATTGATTAATATATATATATATATATATATATATATATATAGAGAGAGAGAGAGAGAGAGAGAGAGAAAGGGAGAGAAAATAAATGTTTATTTATATAATTATCACGTAATTTAATAATAATAATAATAATTATTACACAATTATAATATAATTTAATTGTATAATATAATATTATAATAAATAATAAATATTATGTAATAATATAATGATATAATTTTTTAAATTTAATTATAATTTATGTGCTTCTTTTTATTTAAAAAGAAAAGACCCATTCTGTGGGGAATCACGCAGTCATTTTAAATCATCACTTAAGAAGTTAATATATATAATTCAACAAACTCTTTATATATGTTACAATTCTACATACACAAAACTTGTATGATTGTCACCTATAATTGCCATCACCAAGCTTCTTACTGAGTGCAATGGTTATTTGTCAGTGATATTCCATATCATATGTTATCGATCCTTGTAGGTATCTCTGTCAAAAGTCAACCCCTGTCTTTTAAATCAATATCTCGATTCAACTTTTACTTTTACGAATGTTGTAATAACCAAAATTAAAAAAGGGAAATTCTATTCGTCGTTCGTCATTACGCCAGGCACCCTCGAAAGTACCGACAAGGAACGTCATTCGCACAGCACGGAATATCGCAGCTTTTCATGGAAAGCACTCGGTTGTGCAGAGGAGGAAGCAAACGAGCGTTGTACGAGGTCGATGGGACCGATTGACAGGGTAGTCGCAAAAATACGGACCGGCCACTTCGAGAAAACGGCTGCTTCCGTTCGCGGCACTCTCCCGGAATAAACTCGCACCAGAGGATGAAGTTCAGATCCCGCGCCGTTAGACAGCAACGGTGATTTGTCGATGGCACGCTGATGGGGTATTTAATGACTCGATCGGCGAGATGACCGTCGTCGTCCTCGTCGTTGTCCGAGCGAACGCGCATGACTCCAATAAGGAAGCGGCACGCGCGTAATACGAAAACTCGCCGCCGTCGATACGACGTGGCGAGTCACAAATCAATTGGCGATTTCTTAACGAAAAGCTGTCGAATGTACGGTGCCTTCCGAGGCGTGAAGAGATGGAAAGAACGGGACACGATGCAGAGAAGGGACATGATGCAGAGAAGAGACACAAGCAGACCGACCAGGCGAGACCAGGATGAGAAGGAAAGTTCGTTTTTCTCGTCACGGAATTCCGGTACGAGTTCCTTTGAGCGCGTTTTAACCCTTCAACCCTCGATGATGATAGACAGGCCGGCGTCTTTTTAATGAATGTCATTGTTTCTAACGTTTCTCTCGCGTATCTTTTCTTTATTTGCACGATGGCTTTGCGACTTCAGCTACCGTTAAGCTCTGTTCATCACCTACTAAGTTGCTGCAAAAGACTTGTCATTTTTCTATCAAATTCTGGTAAAATGTTTGAGTGAACCAGACCAATATAACGCTAAAAAAAAGCATATTTTTGGGAACTAATTTTGCGAAAATAAATCAATCAAATGTTTTGAAACATTATATATTAATTAAGTAATTATTAAACTTTACATTATTTATAACTTTATAATATTTTTGTTATTTAAAAAAACCTAGAAATAAATATGCAGCGTGCTCACGAATCACGCAAAACATATTATGCTGCAATCGGCAGGAAACATAGTGCCTGCCAAAAAAGAAAAAAAGTTACTTAAAAATATACTTATAGTTAGAAAATAAACTTGAAATAACTTGAAAAATACAGAAGAACATTCAACTTAATATCTTTTTAATAGTGCAAAACAACAACAAAAAATATGAAATTTGGATATTCAATGTTTAAACAACTATTGTTTTTGCAATTTTTGTTTCACAGCTTAAAATTTCGATTCACCTTCCAACTACAAACATATTATTGAAGAAATTTTTTGGTTTTTTGATCTGAGATCACTAGAACGCTATCTTTCCCGTCGATTACAACGATATCTTTTGCAGTCGTCAGTTCAGCTGTATATTTATTCTAAACAACAAAAATATACAATATTTCATTCGATTTTGCAAAATTAATTCTTAAAACATTTTTTCAGAACGTTACATTGGTCTAACTTCTTAAAAAAGAAATAGAAAATACTATTAGATGTCTAAATAAATGTTAGATGTCTAAAGAAAATACTGAGTCGATGTTCATTTTGAGAAAATTACTAATCCTTTAAAATTGGATAATTTCGCTTGCTATTTTATTTGACAAACGTGGCGAACGTCATGTTTATCAAATTTTGACGTCCAATGCACGAACACATATCTAATCCTGGACATTCTTACTCTTTTGGTCTTTAAATATATATTTCAAATTGTGTCAACAGAAAATATATATACATAGAATATATTTATATAATATATGTATTCTATGTTAAAAGCTGAGATATTCGTTTTTAAAAACCAAAGTAAGAATGTTTAGAATTAGAAAGTATCCGAAAGTTGATACTTTTATCTGTAAAGAGATAATTTGTATCATTTTAGTGAGGGTGTTTGGACTCGAGTTACGTTACGATAACTTGTAATTTAAAGATTGTCAAAATTAAAGCGGTTCAAGTTTTTTTTTATACGTCTTTTAACGCCTTCTATTCTTTAGAGGAAATCTGCGGCATTCTAACGCTATGCTTAAACGTTCGCGTTACGAATTTTGCGACGCGAATCCCACCGGGGTTTTTAACAGCGCTAGACTAGACTAGACGGCGGTAAACATCGAGTAATCGAGCGTTTAAATTCGGAAAACGTCGTTAACGTGGCCGAGACAGCCAAAAGAGCTCTCTCGCCTTCCCTTTCCATTCTCTCCAACGCGGCACTTACCTGGCGCGCGGAGACGTTTTATGAAAAAAGTTTTTAATACCCACCCACTTCATCTGCTTGTCGCACGGCACCCGACCACCTTTTCGTTCGCCGTAAAAAGGGAGACACGATAATGTCTACGGCGCACACAGGTGGATGCGATTCTCTCGCTGATAGAATCTACGTGGCTACGCTTCTCCTCGCTATAACCCTACACTCTATAGACCTGCGCGGGGAGATATCAGTTTGTCATAATGTCTCGCGCGACGTGGAGAATTCTCCATGTTAGCGAAGAAAAAGAGAGAGAAAGAGAGCACAAGTCCTCGTAAAGGGCAGTATTATCACTCCCGCGACGATATTGAATCCTAAGGTGAGTCAAAGGCGCGGGTTTTATAACGTCGAGGCCAGGACCGAGTTTATGAGATCGTTGCCGGGTTTCTCGCGCGAACGACTTTTGTAAGTACGCGATATACGTCTCCTCGAATTACGGCTCGGCATCTTGCGAGCGCGCGCTCTCTCTCTCTCTCTCTCTCTCTCTCTCTCTCTGCCTCTCTCTTCCCTTCACCCTCTCTCTTTCTCTTGTCGTTAACGCAGTCCCCTTTGCGAATGTCATCTCGCGCAAAACGACTTCCAGCTAATCGAAGAACGCGCGCGATTAACGTCAAGATCGGCACCGGTGGTTTCGCAGGTAGACGTGCCGCGTTTCCACGACAGCGCCGGTAATTAATGAGCACGAAGGTTGCGAAAGGTGCACGGCGGTACACGGGGAGGTACATGATGGCACAACGTCCCTTCCGAGTGCACTCCGCGCGCGTAGATGTAGCGTGCAACATAGGGATGTGCGATTTATGAAATTGTGTATCGCGATGCGACCTTTTTCGCAATAAATGCGATATATCGCATCACAATTTTGTATTGCAAATACGATTTTGAATCGCGCGCAACTTTATATCGCTATCGCGATTTTTAATCATAACGAAACTTGGGGGAACTATGATGGGAACACTGTAATGTTTGAATAAGTTAGTTTGAATAAGTAAGTTTGAATAAGTAAGTTTGAATAAGTATTAAACATATTAAAAATAGATAAATCAATTCTCTCCTTGTGCTGCATAAAAATATTCTTTGAAATATCCATTATAAAAGAAACACAAGTTTTACAAGTTAAAGAATAGTTAGTTAATAGTTCAATGAAAACATAATGAAGTTAAATGATTTTTTTTTTAAATTCACTTAACTATATTATGTTTTTTACGCGGGACAAAATAGCAGACACTTTTAACAAAACTTGTTTATTTCCGAAGCATTAATTTTCAAACGTTTTTTAGTTTGAATAAGTAAGTTTGAATAAGTATTAAACATATTAAAAATAGATAAATCAATTCTCTCTTTGTGCTGCATAAAAATATTCTTTGAAATATCCATTATAAGAGAAACACAAGTTTTACAAGTTAAAGAATAGTTAGTTAACAGTTAAATGAAAGCATAATGAAGTTAAATGTTTTTTTTTTAAATTCGCTTAACTATATTATGTTTTTTACGGGGACAAAATAGCAAACACTTTTAACAAAACTTGTTTATTTCCGAAGCATTAATTTTCAAACGTTTTTTAGTTTGAATAAGTAAGTTTGAATAAGTATTAAACATATTAAAAATAGATAAATCAATTCTCTCTTCGTGCTGCATAAAAATATTCTTTGAAATATCCATTATAAGAGAAACACAAGTTTTACAAGTTAAAGAATAGTTAGTTAATAGTTAAATGAAAACATAATGAAGTTAAATGATTTTTTTTTTAATTCACTTAACTATATTATGTTTTTTACGCGGGACAAAATAGCAGACACTTTTAACAAAACTTGTTTATTTCCGAATCATTAATTTTCAAACGTTTTTTAGTTTGAATAAGTATTAAACATATTAAAAATAGATAATTCAATTCTCTCTTTGTGCTGCATAAAAATATTCTTTGAAATATCCATTATAAGAGAAACACAAGTTTTACAAGTTAAAGAATAGTTAAATAGTTTAATAGCTAAATGAAAGCATAATGAAGTTAAATGATGTTTTTTTTTTAAATTCACTTAACTATATTATGTTTTTTACGCGGGACAAAATAGCAGACACTTTTAACAAAATTTGTTTATTTCCAAAGCATTAATTTTCAAACGTTTTTTAGTTTGAATAAGTATTAAACATATTAAAAATAGATAAATCAATTCTCTCTTTGTGCTGCATAAAAATATTCTTTGAAATATCCATTATAAGAGAAACACAAGTTTTACAAGTTAAAGAATAGTTAGTTAACAGTTAAATGAAAGCATAATGAAGTTAAATGATATTTTTTTAAATTCGCTTAACTATATTATGTTTTTTACGGGGACAAAATAGCAAACACTTTTAACAAAACTTGTTTATTTCCGAAGCATTAATTTTCAAACGTTTTTTAGTTTGAATAAGTAAGTTTGAATAAGTATTAAACATATTAAAAATAGATAAATCAATTCTCTCTTCGTGCTGCATAAAAATATTCTTTGAAATATCCATTATAAAAGAAACACAAGTTTTACAAGTTAAAGAATAGTTAGTTAATAGTTAAATGAAAACATAATGAAGTTAAATGATTTTTTTTTTAATTCACTTAACTATATTATGTTTTTTACGGGACAAAATAGCAGACACTTTAACAAAACTTGTTTATTTCCGAATCATTAATTTTCAAACGTTTTTAAAAGTGTATTATTAAGATATACAATATACGATATTTGCACAAGTGTTTAACTAAAATGACAAATAATTTTGAGTTGCCGGTGCGATTTTGCGATAAAAGTCCAATTGCGTATCGCACTGCTATTCAAAAAAAGAAAATCGCAGTGTTTGCGACATATCGCAAAATCGCACATCCCTCATACGTTTACGTGGCGGCCAACGACGCGACGAATGCACACGCGGTCGTTGGATGCGAGCACGTGACTCTCCCCTCTCTCTTTCTCTCTTTCTCTGCCTCCCTCCCTCTCTTTCCCTCTCTTTCTCTCTCCTCCACCAGCAAAATTAGCATAAGCCGCTCCGAACTCCGATATGGAACGGCATGGAGAGTACCCGCGAGATTCCCAGAAACCCCAACTTGACAATGCGATCTTGACTAACAATAAGCACCGACGCGAAAGTAATCCCGGGCACGCGACACGCTCGGCACCTCGGGAACTCGCCGCTGCCTCGCGGCGAACGCGGACTTTCCACCTCACGGTGGGGCGCGGGCTCGTTGCAGTTTTCCTCAGTACGTTCACGCGAAACGTGCTCTCTCAATCTCCCTTCCTCTCTGTCTCTCTCTCTCTCTCTCTCTCTCCCTCTCTTTCCGTGTGTGTGTGTGTGTGTGTGTGCGTGAGGAAACCGCAACGC